GTAATGAGAAACCTGGCTGCTCCTGCCAGACGGATTGCCATAATGTCTGGCTGCTCCGACGACACTCCGTACGAACAGCTGCTTGAAAAGTTATCTACGCTGTTCTCGGAGGACGCCGAGAGCATATTGCAGAAGCTTGTTAGTCGACGATATCGATCTGGTGAACGTGTCGTTGACTATATGGCCGACATTCACGATCTGGTCCGAAGGACTTACCCAGGGTCGATGCATGAAACCCTGACGGTAACCCACGTTCTCCGGGGTCTACCGGACAAGATCGCTTTGCGGCATGCCGGGCTTATGACGCGCTCAATTGCAGACGTACAGAAGGCCCTCACGGCGGACCCAGAACTGGGGGACAAAGTCCAGTTTGCCACACCGGCTCAGCCAAGTCCCGTTCTAGAGTGGCGACAGAAAACGAACAGGTTCCAAGGGCCGCGATCCAGAGGACCCGGCAGACAATGGACGGGGAAACCTCGCGGCGGCGATGGTTTTAAGAAGCCTCCAGGTGCGTCAGTTCCATGTCCTGCCATTCATGCGTCATGTGCTGACACCCGACCCTTTATATCTATAGGTATTTGCAATAGGTTAATGCATTTCCTAGTTGATAGGGGGGCTGGATGCTCGTTGGTCAACCCAAGACGGTTCCCGCAGAGGATGTTCGAGCCATACCTGGTGGCGTCATCAATTAACGTTAAAGTGGCGAACGGTACAGTTATGCGTAGCAAGGGTTGTGTTGATATCGCACTCACTATTACCGGCAGTGTGTACCAGCATACCTTATATCTATGCCAGGATATGCCATACGATGGCATATTAGGGTCAGACTTCCTCGATAGGTACGATGGCGAATATAGCCGGCCACAACGGTGGTTACGCCTTGGGTCTCATGAGGTACCGGTAGTTTATGAGCATAGCAATGGTGCCATATCTGCCATTACAACTCAGACACACCCAACCTCAGAGGAGCTGGACCTATTGGTGAGCACGAATGCACACGGTGAGGGGCTCGACCTCACTCAGCTTCGCAAGCTGGTCCAGGAATATGCTGACGTATTTGCGTGGGACGGAGCAGACACCGGTCGAACGAATGTTACGCTCCATGACATTCACACGACGGAGGCACGCCCCATTCGACAACGACCCCGACGGATACCTGTGGCGTATCAACAGGCAGTTGAGGAAGCCATTGCAGATATGCTACAGAAGAAGATCATCAAACCGTCGTCATCCCCTTGGGCATCACCCATAGTTGTGGTCAAAAAGAAGGACGGGACTATTAGGTTGTGTGTCGATTATCGAAAATTAAATGAGGTCACTGTA